AAATGGAATGCAATCGACGATAACACTAGCTAACTATTGGGAACATTCACCCCACACTAAAATCTGAACTGCTCCCCCACCAAAATGTTCTGCAGACAGAAGTGAATCTCGGTGGTCTAGTTCTGGCTTTGACCAGGGTGGCAGTCTTGTTTTGTGGCATGACATCGAGTCATCTGCACAAAAGCAGTCTAGGCTGCTGGTGGATCTATGCTAACCCCAGCCCTTTGTGGATTCTAGCAAGAAGCATGTCTGCTTTGTTTTGTTTCTAAGTAGAAAAAAAAAGTGCTTGAGAAAGCGGGGGGTGGGGTGGGGGGGGGGGGGGGGGGGAAGGGCAATAAATGAGGGTAAGTTGAGACCTAGCAAATTGGACATATAATGGGGTTTGGGTCCCTGACAACCCAAAAATGGACTTTCTGGATCCTGTCCCAAGGGGCTTCCATGTTATAGTTGACCATCTCAAATAAATCTGGTGGATGGGAGATCTTGGGTGAACTCTAGGGGGGGCTTCAAGGGAGTTGATGTAATTGTTTGGTGGGGGAGGGCTCCTCCCACATCTTCACTTCTCCTTGGAGGCTGCAGTGTTGGGAGGAAGGGCAGATGCCAGTCGAGCTTAACCTCTCTGAGCCTCAGTTTCATCGTCTGTGGAAGAGTGTGCTGGAGTGGCATTGTTCAGGGGATTCACGAGAAAAATCTATTGAAAGCATCTAGCCCTGTGCCAGGCACTTAGCCAGTGCTTAAGCTCTCGTAGCTATTTTAGACTCCGGAATTCATCTAATACCACTGGCGTCAGAGTACACCGAAGGGAATGAGAAGCCCAGCCTTGGCCTCCTAGCCCAGGTCACAGAGCTCCCGGGGAGGGTGGAGCTGGGGGTCCCAGGCCTCCCCACTCCGGGCTCTTTACTGTGCCCACTCACTCTCTGGACTCATTCAGCTCGGCCAGCACCTCGGGCATCACAGCTCCTGCCTTCCACCTTGGCCCACCTCCATCTGCTCAACCCCAAGTCCTGTTTCTCTTACCGCCTCAGTATCTAGAAAAACCCCTCCTGCCTCCCTCCCTCATGGCCATTGCAGGCGTTCTGTCCAGAGGATTCTTCTCTTCTTTACCCATGGCTGCCCCTTTGCCATGGCTGCCCTATACGTTTCAGCTCAGTGCCCACATCCACTACCATTCTAGCTGAATTGATGCCATTCCCGACCTCCCATCTCTTTCTCCCTCTCTTTCCAGCATGTAGCCTGTCAGCACTTCCTCTATTCTACAGTTTTCTTTCCTTTTTTACTATCTGTCTCCTTTCCCGAGTGTAAGCTCCAGAAGGACAGAGAACATGTGTCCCGGCTCCTGGCATGAGGCATGACGCAGAGGTGCTCAGTCCACATGCCGGTGGATGAACAAGTGAATGAATGAATGAATGAATGAACCAGCGGACCAATTCCAGAACCAGCATCCTTCCTAAGGCCTGGGGAGACCCTGCAGAGGATGCTACCTTGCCGGGAGAGGGGCCGGGCACCTGCTTGCCCTCCTCCCTGGCCTCCTAAAAGAACAGCGTGAAGCTACCTACAGACAGGGGCGTGCCAGCAGGCAGGCAGCCCCCACAAAAGCACATCTTGCGGGCAGGGGAAATGGGCGAGTAGTTGCTAATTGCGACTTCCAACTGGGCTGATCTTTCCCAAGTTCCAAAGGCGCCTGCCTCCAGAAACTCGGGCTGCTGCCGCTGCGGAGGGAGGGAGGCAGGGAGGGAGGGAGGGAGGGAGGGAGGGAGGGAGGGAGAGAGCCAGGAGGAGGGGCGGGCGCCTGGGCGCCGGGGCTGGCACACGAAGCCCCATCTCCTCCCCCTCCTCCCCCCAGCTCCTCTCCAAGAGAGGAAGCGATGCAGATGGAGATGAGAAATAAATATTCCTGCCTGCTCCGTGCCACTGCAGTTTCCAAAATGTCTGGCTTGGACCACGGAACCAAGCCCAGGAAAGGAGGCGCTCAGCGGGAGGAAGAGGGGGAAAGGGTGGCATATTTGTCGATACTTGTCAGCTTTCTGGGGGGCAGAGCACATGGCTCATCCTTGGCAGCCCCGTGGGGCGGGACGTGGTAAGTGCGCAGTAAGACTTGCAGAGTGGAGCCGAAGTGGGAGCCAGGGAGGGAACCCTGCCAGGTGGCACCCTGAGGCTCCGCCTTTGTCCAGGCCGGACTCCTGGTTCTCTCAGCCCGGATAGCTCTCCCCACAACACCTGCTGCCCTGTACCCTGTCCCCTGCCCTCCTCCAGGTAATCAACGCGGCTGGGCTGCAGGGAGGCTCCGGGGCCTCCCAGATTTGGGCAGGAGCTCAGAATCCACGCGCAGAGATGTTCCTGCCGCTTCCAAGCACAGCTCAGGCTCCAACACAGGATCCACAGGAGACCAGAACTCGCGCTGCAAATGATAAGTTGGGTGCTTTTGGCCTGGGGGTGGCCACGTGTGTGGGAGAAGCATCATGGCAGGTACAGGCCAGCAGAGGCAGGCAGTGACCTGCAGTGGGGGGGCTTCCACGAGGCATGCTCTGTGGCTGCAAAATGTCTCAGAAAAGGGAGAGGAGAGGGTGACAATGTCTTGGCTGGGACACTCCTGCAAGTTCTGCGAGGTCTTCTTTGTTTCACACGCTCCCGGGAGAATCTCCCTGGTGCCAGGCCCTCGGCATCGCTGCCATGGGACCACCTTTTACTGGTCCTCCGAAGGCAGTGATTCGGGTGGGGCCCTGGTGGATGGGATGCTGCCCAGGAAGTGGCAGAGGAGCTTTGCTGGGTCCAGGCCGGTGCAGTCAGAACCGCTGCTCAAAATAAAGACTCGGAGAACGTGATGTGTTCTGTGGGAGTCAGGGAACATCTTCCAGAAGTGTTGCCTGACTTTCTGCCTCTTTTCACCATGTCCATGACTTCACCAAGGCAGGAAGATTATCTAATATTTCCCACTCCCGAGCCCTGAATCCTTTCTCAGGCATCTTCGCCACTCCATTGCCCATCTGCCTTCTAGTGCCAGGCAAGTGCCAGCTGAATCCCACTCTCTTCAGGAAGCTGTTCGGTGGTGGTGGTGGTGGGGAGGGGAAGCTGGCAGAAACCTGGGTTCCTGTTCGCAGGCTGCCCATTGCTGTGTGACCTTAGACAAAGCATTCCCCCTCTCTGGGCTTTGGTTTCTTTGTCAAGGAGTGGGTTGGTGGGTTTTCTTTCACCGGTGACACATTATGGGTGGTTCTACAGAGTGAAATCAGATACAGCTCCTTTGGTCACCCCTCTTCCCACTCCACCTTTGCCAACAAAGTCCTGAGACTGGGGTCATAGCGCTTTCTGGGACGGAGTTCAGTTCTCACCTGGGAAGGTCAGAGCTGCATTTCAAAACAAGATGGGCATGCGGAGATGTGGATGCTGTCTAGACTTATTTTACATGTTTTCTGTCTATATTTCCTTTAATTCCCAGGAAATCTAATGTATGGGTTAGGGAAAGACCAAAGAAGGGCATGTTTGGAAAGAACTTGTGTGTAGGTATGTCTGTAAATAGTAAACACATTAGATAACTTTTATTAATAATAGCTGCTATTTATTGAGACCTACTGTGTGCTAGGACTATACTAAACTCTTTCACTTGTATTATTATCCTCAAAAAAGCTCATGGTGGAAGGCATTATTTACTCCCTACTTCCACACAACGTTGGAAGTTAACTGCAATTAACACACACACACACACACACACACACACACACACAGCAAAATGATACAACAGCACACCTCCCTAAAACCAAAACCAAAACCAAAACCAAAACCAAAACCAAAACCAAAACCAAACCAACCTCAGAGAGGATGAGGCTCAGGGAGGACGAGACACCTGTTCAAGGTCACATAGCTGGTTAATATTGGTAATGGGGTTTGAACCTGATTTTGTTGGATTCCAAAGATGATGATGTGCTACCCTCCATCCTGTGCTGGGCCTTGCCTTGGCATTCAATGCCCTTTTAGGAAACTCTTCATAAATGAAGTTTCTTTTAAAGACTCAAAGGTAGTGGGTCCTAAATGGTCTTTCCTATGGCATTGTCAGAGGACAACAGCTGGCCCCAGAGCCAGCAAGTCGCCTGCCATCACAGATGGCCAGGAGGCCTGCCTCTGCAGTGCCCGCCGAGCACAGGAAGGGACAGAGAGTGGGCCCCGGAGCAAGTGATCCACCCCACTTACCTACAGAGAATTAGGCTGGCCTCTGCCACCGCCTAACTAACTTCTGTGGCCATGCCCGCTTCTTGCACAGAATTAGAGCCTCTTGGAATTTGTACAGACTTAATCATCTGTACCAGAGACGTAAACTCAATGTCCCCAAGCCCCGGCAGGTCTATGAATGAGCAAGACAGCTTGGAGGGGCTCCAGGAAACTGGCGAAAACATTTGGATGATGGAGACACTGTGACTGAGCCCCGTAGACGGCTGCTGTGCCCACAGACAAGCCTTTATCAAGCTGCTGACGGTCACTTCATAAAGTCCTGGGACTGAGGCTTCTCTGTGAATTCTCCTGATTGTTAAATGCAGGAAACTAATTCAGTTAAGGAAAGGGTACCTGACACAGCGAAGACCAAATAAAACATATTGACAAACTCTCTCCGACTCGTAGGTCTCCATTTGCAACCTCTAAAATTAATTCACAGACGAGGAGATGGTAGCTCAGAAACGGTAAGTGTTTTCGCCTAAGAAGCTAAGTTGGGCTCAGTCCACCAGCTCTCCTGGGATATGAATAGAGGCGTACATGTGTGCACATAGTGTATATTCACAGATGAAACAGAAGTGGTTTGATTTGCCGGCTGCCATGAAGTGTCCTGCTCCTTCTCCTGGTGTTATGAGTACACACTGATGGTTGACTGAAATTCGAACACACACACACCCAAACCCAATGCTACAGCAGCCCCCTCCTCATGTCAGCTCCTTGACCTTTGCCAGCTCATGCTATCCAGTGGGAAGCATTCCATGTTTCCTTAACAAAATGATGTAAACCTCTTTACTTACGGTAAATGACAAGAAAGAAGAAAACAAGGTCCCTTCGTCATATCTGGATAATTTTGCCAACACTCCTTCCAAGATAGTAACGAACTAGAAAAACCGCAAAGGAGAGAAAAGAATTAGTGCTTCAGAGTAGAACTGCTCACGATAAAGAGCAACATTTCCAGCCGGCACGGAGCCTCTGCTCACATTTGCCTTCTATTATGTGATTGCAGCCTGCGGAGCGGAGTAGACGCTGCTACACAGAAATATTTGACTTATCCGGCTTTCTCTTCATTATTATGTGATTGCAAATAGAGAGTGCTCCAGAAGTGCAAAGTGACAAAATATTATTGCGTTGCATATAGCATGCGATAATATTAAATGCACTTTTCAAAATCCCAAACTGCGCAAAGCCGTCTTTATGTTGCATATTAGCACTACATTTAATCCAATCTATTTTTATTTGTATTTTATCAGTAATTTGGGGGAAACAGAAGTTTAGCACTGGCAAATATAAATGTCTTCCCATTCAACATTACTTAGTTAAAATTCTAGAATTCATGAGGGTGACTGAAATAGCTTTATCTGACTTTTCTGTTTTATTATGACTCTCACTGCATGTGAAACTAGGGGGAGGGGTTTTTTATGATGGCAGAATTCCTTATTACCATTTAACTTTCTGTATTAAAAAAAAAAAAAAGAACTTTGTCAATGCTGAAAAACAAAACAAACATTTCCCGAATAACCTAGAGCAGCGTTTGGGGACAAATTCCTATTAAGTTAACATATGCCACTTCATTGCTTCATCCCCACTCGGCTCCCAATCATCAGAAAAATCCCTCAGCGCAGAGGCTGGGCGAGGCACAATTCTGTTTCCTGAGAAATGTGAGTACCCAGCTCAACTTTACAAGGATAAAGTGTGACATTTTAATGGGAACACAGACATAACAAAGCAATGCTCCCAACGAAACATTTCACCTGGAACGGAAGGTTACCTTTGCCACCAGGAGTGTTATCATTTCTTTAACGGTTTCTTCAATGAGTTCGTCTATTTTTGAATGGTACTGATGCTGAAGAACACAGAGAGGCAAATATTAGCGTGTTTAGGAGGTGATGGCATGGCATCCGCCGGTAATTTTTAGACAACACAATTTATATATACATCAAGCCTGGCCTGCCCACCCTGTTCCTTTCCACAGTCCCAGACGCAGCTGTAGGATTCTGACTCTGCGTCTTTGATGAGGAGGGATTCGAAACTTAAAAAAATAAAAATAAAAAAATTACGGGCACATTGCTCCTCACCCAAAGCGTTCCATTGCGTTGATATGTGTGGAGACATACACGCATTCACAAAAGCTGGCATGGACATGGACGGCTCACAGCCTCGCAGCGCCTCGATCTGGGTCGTACAAAGCACGATCCCACAGGAATTTAATACAGGGATGAAAATCATCTTTGGGAAACTGCTGGGAGATGTGGCTGAGGAAGTACACCCTTCCAAAGGGAACTGGACCAATGCACTGTGAATGACTTTTGCTAAAATGGTTCTAAGACCTTTGGCTGTTTGGGGTTAATGCCTCCGTGCCCCTCATCCCACCTCTGTGTGCTGACTCTGTGCCCAGGCAGTGTCTCTTTCTGAACCGGGTGGGGGGGGGGGGGCTGACTCTCATTTTTCTCCATCATGGGCAAGCAGACCCAGGCTTAGCGCACTAATGAGACTGCTACTAAGTTTTTCAAATCCTCTAACTGCTGCTGTCGGTTATTAAATTTAAATAGTAATGCAAAAACAAACCCCACACAAACAAAATCTGCTACACATGCCAGGAGGAAAGAAACAGCGATTTCAACAGAAAGCACTGTGTGCCAGCTCCTTGACATTTATTAGATCATCTCGGTATCCATTGAATTATTCCGTATTTCCTCAATGGAAAACAACAATGCCAAACACCGCTCTCCGGAAAGAAGAATGCACTTACCCACTCGTTAGCAAACTTTCAGAGGGATGAGTAATTAGGAATTGAAAGAAAAGGGAACAATGCAAATCAAAATTAGGACAATCCGGCACATGAGAAAAGAAAAAAATTAAACCATCCAGAAAGCTATGAAAACATGCAGAAATAATAAGCCATAGTAATAATGTGGTTTGATATTCTGATAACTAGTGATCAGAAGTATTGAAAGGGAGCAAAAGGATATGAATTAGGTTGATTCATTTCAAGTCACAATGGGATTTTATTTGTATCAATAATTGGAAGACCTAGACCAAACCTCAGTGCAAAGTTGGTTAGTTATTTGCCTAAGAAAATATAGTTCGGTTTCTTCACCTATAAACACACACACACACACACACACACACACACACAACACTCAACAGATACTACTTTTTAGGAACAAAGGGGGAGGGGAGGAACCAGTACAAATTACTGATGATTTTGTAATGAGAATGAGGCAGACCCTGTGTAAAGATATTTAGCAGGTTTCTTTCTTTCTTTCTCTTTTTCTTCCCTTCCTTCCTTCTTCCTTCCCTTCTTTCTTTCTTCTTCCCTCCCTCCCTCGCTCCCTCCCTCCCTCCCTCCCTCCCTCTATCCCTCCCTTCCTCTTTCCCTTCCTTCCTTTCTTAATTCCCATTCAAGGATATGTTCTTATTGATTCCAAAAAGAGAGGACAGCAGAGAGAGAGAAATAAACAAACAAACAAACAAACAAACATTGATTGCTTGCCTCTGATATGAGGCCACATGGGATGGTTGGGGATTGAACCCACAACCTAGGTAGGTGCCCCTGACCTGGAACTCAACCTGTAATCTTTTTGGTGCACAGAACAATGCACCAACCAGTCAGGGCTATTAAAAAATCAGAGTCAAGTTTTTTTTTTCCTGGTGGTCCTGCTCTTAGAATCATAGACCTAGTCTGAAGATGTACTGAGGGTCTAGATGTGGAAACATTTTGTCAGCTTATAATTGCAATCCCAATATTACCGGTATTTGTAGAAACTCATAAAGTAGAAAGAAAGAGTAGGGGGAGATGGTCTTATAGCTCAGTCATCTCATTTTAGTTGACTAGAGGGAAAAAAAAAAAGCAAATGGCGCATGTTGCACAGTGCTGATAAACAGAATCCACGTTGGCTCTGCTGTTAACGTCACAAAAGAATTTACTAGGAAGTTGGCAGAAACCTGAAGCTAAATACAAAAACTATCTGCAGAGTTCTGTGCTAGAAACACAGGAAGATGTCAGAGCAAAGGACCTCAGGAATGTTGACAGGGCTCCCAACTCATTGTTAGATCTTGTGGTAAGATCCCGAGTCACACCCTCACCGGCCCTCACGCAACTGTACTTTCTCCCAGATTCTCTTTGGATTGCTATAAGTGATTCACATTTATGACATTAATGCTGAGATTTAATTCAGAAAAGCTAGCTGTAGGCAAAAATAACACAATATGAAAATATTAAATGAGGGGCTTCTAAACAAGCAAAGAACATCATTGAGAACAGAAACATTCTCTCAAAAAACTTAGCTGAAACAGCAGAAAGAACCAAGAGCATATTCTCTATACATCACTCATGGAAGACTCAGGCACAATCTGTTTTGAGGAGTTAGTTAACAATGTCTTTTCTGAAAGACAAACGAGCTTTCTCTTCCCTTCTCTAAGGAATCCAGATGAAAGTATATGGAGACACGGTGGTTTGTGGGGCCCTCTCCTTGCTCTCATGTATTCCATGCCAAAGTTGGCTCTGACTCTGACTCCTCCCGGGTACTCCCACTGTCTCTCCCTTTCACTGTCTATGAATATATTATCTCCACTCCTGTCCACATTTCTTTTATTCTGCTTATAAAAATGGATTTTTAAAACATATATATATATATATATATATATATATATATATATATATATATATATCTCGATTGATTTCAGAGAGGAAGGGAGAGAGAGAGAGAGATAGGAACATCAATGATGAGACAGAATCATTGATTGGCTGCTCCTGAATGCTCTGCACTGGGGACCAAGCCCACAACCCAGGCACGTGCTCTTGACTGGAATTGAACCCTGGACCCTTCAGTCCACAGGCCAACACTATATCCACTGAGCCAAATCAGCTAGGGCTATAAAAAATGTTTTGATATGCTTATTCTGCTTCTTACTTTTAGAGGAAACTTGAATATGTCATCTCCGTTAGTCTATTTCCTCATTTCCTCAACAGGGCTAGAATTATTCCTGTTGTGAATACAGAAATGACTACAAAGTAATGAAACAATGCATGGACACATGGTTTGGAAACTTAGAAGTGCTATATGGCAATATTACTGCTGCTGTAACTAACGATTAGCATGGTAGTTACATGGGTGTATTTCTCTAAACTCATCTAAAACCTATATACCTTGTTGTATGTCAATTACAATCTCAATGAAATAAGACCCACTTTGGAGGGATAGGAGGGCAGGGTAATATCTATTCTGCTTATTATGTAGCAAAGGGGGCATTTATCTAAGTAGCCTTCATTCACATACAAGTAATTACCAAATACATGAATTTGCTTTGTCAGTTTACAAGACATTTGATTAACCTTTCTGGAGCAACAGAGAGTGCTCTGCCTTTAGTCTGCCCTTTCTCGGGAGAGTAATTGTTCCATACAGCTGTGACGCTCCTGTTTGGAGTATAAGTACTACCGGGTATCGTTTACTTATCATCCTTCTCCACCCCCGCTAGATTATCTTGTCACAACATTTTTCGCAGTCAGGTGAAATATCCAATTTGGGTGCAAAGAGGGCTCTTCCTTATTTTTGCATTTTTCAGTTCCTTCTGCTGGCTTGATAATAATAATTGACTTGATAATAACAATTAATAATAATTATAATAAATTATATTGGCTTGATAATAATAATTAATAATAATAATTACAACAATAATAAATTATATTCTGAGGCCCTAGATCATGATTTAGCAAGTGAACTACTAATCTTCAATGGTTTGGGAAGTTCACTTTTGGTTCTAATGAGCTAAGTTGCTGCAAATTCACAATCACACCGCGAGAATCCTTCCACTTGACTCCCAGTGCTGCACATTTTGCCTTGTCATGGAACAGATTGTGTGTATGTTGTCTTTCTGTTAAGACCATCTGACCTTGGAAACGAGATGAAAACACTCTAGACCAAGTGAGAAAGTATTTAATATACAATTTCCTCTCTATTGGTGCTTTGCAAATTTTAATGAAAAAATAAATATTTAAGATGGAAAAGTATGGCTAACAAATGTTTCAACAGCTGCCTTTAGATGCTACTTTACCCCAGTGATGAAATTCAGGAAGTGATTGAGAACTGGAGAATCTATTCTAAAACTCCCTGAGGGCATTGGAATCCAGGTGGACGCAGGCATCGGTCTATAATAGACTAGATTTATAATAGGAGTTTATACCAAATACTCACAAAGTGAAAACTCCAAAAATAAATTAAACTTTTATCTATTTTCCCAATTCCAGTCCTCGCCTTTGGCCAATGTCGTTCTAACTGTTCAGTTTTACTTTGGAGATAAATGTTCCATTCTAGAAAAAGGGGAGAGCTGATGCGTGACCATTCACATGAGACTTCTCACTGAAGTTCTACTCAAGGTCACAGCCACAGAGCAAGGTCCCTCAAAGGACTTATTTCCTATCATATATTTCCAATGGAGTCTCAAACTTCACAGACAAACTTCACAGGCCCCTTGAAATTGTTTGTGAAAGTATTTTTTTCCTGGGAAATGGCTCCATAAATTTCATGGAGCCACATGAATAAATCTTAATACTATGCATGGCAAAAGAAGGCACAAAAGGCCACATACTAGTATATTCCATTGATAGGAAATGCTCAAATAGGCAAGTCCTTATTAATAGAAAGAGAGTGCCAGTTACCTGGGGCTGGGGCGGGAGGGTTGGGAATTATACTAATAGGCCCAGGTTTCTTTTTAGGGTGATAAGAATGTCCTGCAATTGATTGTGATGATGGTTGCACATTTTTGTGAATATACTAAATGTTACTGACTTGTAAACTTGAAGAGCGAATTTTATGGTATGTGAATTATATCTCAATTTTAAAAAATAAAACTCCAAAGAGAGAAAAATTCAGGAGGAGAAGGATTCTGGAAGTCACCCACGATTCTTAGAGATCATCCAAAACAGGTTTTTGAAGTGGGCTCTGTGAAGCCCAAGAGATGGCTCAGAGTCGCCCAGAGAAATGTGAGTGGGTAATGATCCGACTGCATCCAGAAATTTTATTCGTCTCACATGCTGGCCCTCCCTCTTTCTTCCCCCAGGTAAGATCTGAAGAACTGATTCTGCATCTAAAAGCAGCCTGAATAAAACAAGAAGAGTGCTATCATTTTACAGATGAAGAAACCAAGGCCCAAAGAGGCTGGGTCACTTGACCAGCTCTAGTGGGCAGCACAGCTCGGGTGAGACCCCTCACCAGGAGGCTGTCCCCAGCCTGAGCCTTCTCCAGGAGGCTGACCTTTGGCCCGAGCCTTCTCCTTCACTCAGGTTTGGATACTGAACCTCTGGCCAGTGGTTCTTACGGTGTGTCTCTACACCCGCCAGTGGCATCAGTATCACCAGAGGAAATGAAAACCCTTGGACCACACCCCAGACCTATTGGGAATTCTTGGGGTGAGACCCAACAATGTGGGTTTGAGAAGCTCTCTGATTCGTCGGGTGCACTGACGTTAGACCTGCAGCAAAGGGAACCGGCAAAGAGAACCCCTTGCATGTGACCCAAAGCTTAACCCCGGGGAAAAGTTCCCAACCAGAAAATCAGTCATGGGCAGAGGCTCACAAAAGTAGTGGATGAAGCTGATGGATGGGGGGATGGGTGGGGGTGGTGGTGGGTGGGGGGGGGACGAGGAGCTTAAAGATGATCGTGCCACGAAGAGAATACCACCAACCCACATTTAAAAATGGAAGGTGCCGAAAGAGAAAATAAATAACGAATAAGGAGCAAACATAATTTAGTAAAAAATTCTGAGCATATAGGGCTGGTATCGAAAGATCTGATTTAGGAGCAATTTATGCCAATTGGCAACAACACGAGAGTTGCCAGAAATGTTTTTGAATTAATTCTAAATTGGTATATGAATATCTAGCTGGCTTAAGGCCATCAGAGGAAAATGATCACGATGGTCTTTAATCAAGCCCAAGTTGCTGTTTCTTTCTCCTTTACATTTTAAATGCCACTTTGGAACTGGGAATTTAGCAAAGGACTAAACTTTTGGTCAGGGAAGATGCACAATCAATCTCGGGGGGTGGTGGGGGAGAAATTGCTGTGATTTCTTACAAATTCAGAACCTGCTGCTGGGGACTGGGGAGCAGTGTGATCTAACATTACAGATCCTGGAAGATGCTAGATTCGAAAAAGGGAGCTCTCCTGCCGTCCAGATGTTCAAAGTGATAAAATGCACTTCAAATGTGAAAATGGCTTGCATTCTGGCAAACATCTGTTGGAGATACCAGCCTAATAAATGAGATGATCAAATATCATTGGACTTAAAGGAATTTAATGGCCATTCCAACTCCAGCCAAGAATCACTACCAAGTCACTGGCACGCTCATTAGCACAAGCCTTAGACATTTACTGAACAAACAGACACCAAACATTCACTTGCGGATTAACCTACAAATGCTGGAGTATATTTCAGAAACTAGCAGACTAGTGTAGATGGAAGGAATTTGTGAAGTTTTCTTCTACACGATCAATGGCAGTGGGGGGCGGGGGAAGGTGTAAGGGAGGAGAAATCCATATATATATTTTTTACCTCTTGGCCCATTTCCATGCTGCAAAGTTTTGTTGATTGAGCTTTGGCATCAACCATAACATTAAACATAGTGCATATTGACTGTGGGACTCGAAAATCTGTTGATCGACTGGTTTTTTGCAGCTTAACTTCAAATGCAATCCTGGTTCTATTAAAACAAAGTAGGAAAAGACCAATTCAGCATGCGGATGGCAGCAGGCGGAGAAGACATTTTCTGAGGGGTTAGTGGAAAAAGAAAATTGAAGGCTGTAATCAGTTTCCATCGACAATGACTTCACGTGTGTTTTTTAAGAATGACTCTCCCAGCTCAGGAAGGCCTATTCAGGGAGACAGCCACACTCACCCTTCTTTCCCGGCAGTGCATGGGACACCTGTAGCTCGGCGTATTTCTGTCTATCGCTCACATGCTATGGATAACTCTAATTGCAGGAGAATGAAGGAAGGAACAAAAACCCAATTATAGCATTATAGCATATGTACATGCTCTCACACTGGCAACTGCCTACCTTGAATCCCTTCATTTAACCCCCCAACCCCGCCAAAAAAAAAAAAAAAAAGCAGTTTCTAATCTTCACAATCTCCTGGTGGGGAAAAACATCTTAAATGACACATTGTTTTATTTATTTATTAATTTTACCCTGGCTTTGAAAGAGACTGAAGAAAAAACAAAACATCAAGCTTACTATATTGCTTTAAAGACTAAAAAATGAGATGACTACCTTTGTAGAGGGGAGTGAAAGCAGGGGAGGTGGTAAGAGGGGACTTACACTATGCTTGCTTGCTTGTTTGCCTTGCCAGGTCAATGCTTTATTTTGCAATAAAAAATACATTGTATTTATAAGTAAAAATGCCATACTATACTTCCCAATTCAAGTCTTGACTAATGGTGGCAATTTGCTGTGACATAATTCTGACTTAGGTCACATTATGACACCAGCAATGCGCTAACTGCTTGTGGAAAAAGCGCGGTCCGACAAGGCCAGCTGGTCTACCGGTGTGAGACCTCATCCTTGATGTCAGCCTGCAAAGGGGCCTGGTGATGGTTTGAAAGGTTTCAGAGAAGCGGGTCCCATCCTCATCACATGTCTTCAGAGAAGAGCACCTGGTAAGTGAGTGGCTTTACTAAAGGTCCTTTGTCCAATGCCTCTTTTCAGCACTGTCCCAGTGGTTCTGAAGATCACGCAGCCACAGGGAAGGCATCGCTTTAAGAGGCATTGGTAGCAGTTTCCTCACAGTGCTGAGAGGGACCACACAGCTAGCTAGCTCGGAGAGGATGCCAGCTTGCGAACACACCCTGGGTGCACGAGGGAAGCCAAGTATAATTTCTAAGGTTGGAAGCCCAGCGCTTAAGAAAACTACCAAAAAGATGCCTTAACACACTCCTATATATTCTATGATCCTGTTAAAGATAAATGTGTCTTGGCTTCTAAAGACTCGGTGCACTGATGTAGCTTTCTAATCACGATGATCATTTTAAGCTCTGCTGCAAATACATCGTTTTCTGGTTTGGGGCAAAGGAGGCCTGATGGGAACTGAGTTGGACAGGTCCCCGTGCTGATCTGAGGTTCCCTGGCCAGGCACGGCCCAACTTGAGGAGGGAAGTGCTAAGTCGATCCCTTACAATGAAGTAATCATCTTCTGCTTTCACAGGAGAGCTGCTCATAGCCCTTAGAGCGAGGGGCTGTAAAAACAGGCAGCCGGATGCAAAATTAATATGACCGAGAAGGTTCTGTGGGACAAAAGGCAGGAACGGAGGGGTCATTTAATCCAGCTGAGTTAGGGGGCTCCGTGTTCTGTGTGGAGCACAGCGCCTGATATAGACTGGACTAGAGGCTCTGTCAGTTTCATGAAGTGGATGATGTCATCAGGTGAGTGATTTCAATTTCTTAGAAACTTGGCAGTGAGGAGTACGGACTGACTTTTGGTGTTGCATATTTACATCCATGAAATCATGCCCTTACTCTGCTATCCTAGAACAGGGGCCCTTTATTCTATCCCAAAGAGAAAAGCCAAGGTGCTAGGCTCTCCTAATGTGGGCTCTATGTCTTCAAACACCCACAGACTGCTTCATGTCTTACCCGCTGGCCCAGGCTGTCTGGGGACGATATTGCCATGCATGTATGCTCTTGGCTGGTTTGTGCTTAGACTGGGGCCTGAACTGGAAGGGACACCAGGGTCAGGAGTACATGTGCAGGTGACCAACTCCTAGTAATAAACAGTTACTTAACAGCAACCATGAGTCAAGCATGATGCTGGGGCCTGGGATGGGTGAGGAGCTCAAAATGAACAAGATACACTGCTTGCCACTGAGGAGCTCACACTCGTTGAGTGGCTGACCACGATCCCACCTATATGTCATCTGCTATTACTTATTATCTATTCAAAAGACTGGCTCTCCAGAGAAGGGCATGCGTGTCTTTCTGTGCAACCGTGTGCACAGATGAGAAGCTAGTGGGCCTCATTTTAATGCTTTACAGTCCCAGGGACAGCCAGGGGAGAGTGTTTTGCCAGAGGAGCCATTTTGACAAGCAGTTTTGTGTGAAATGGTTTAGCCATAGGAAAAGATTGGCTTTTCCTAAAATTGAGTCAGACTCTGTAGAAGATGGTGAGAGTCAAAACCCGAAGGAAACATTTTGACCTTAAGGTTGAGAAATAGGCCTGTCTTGGATCCCAAGAATGGGAAGAAAAGGACAAAGCACAGAATCTGGATCACAAGGACTTGAGTTTCCTGAGGATTCTTCATAGCACATCGCGTTCTCTAATTCCTGCCAAGAAGCTCACCTACCAGCGACTATGTCATTGTTCTGCCTTTTGGTTCTGGTTTTAATGCTATTACATCCCTTTTCTTTTTCCAAGATACAACACGATGAATTCAGAGCAAACCCAGTCCCCAACTCTCACAATATTTACTAAGTATTTTGTGGTCCATCAACTAAATTATACAACATCTGGAAATCCAAGGGTCCTGTGATGCTTGTGGTCTTCTTTTTTTGAATGAGGAATAATAATGGAATTGTTGGGAACTGGCAAAAGCACTTGGATATGTGTCTGGGGACAGAAAGGGTGATGATAATGGTGTCATGTCAGAGGCAGTATGGATACAGACACTCCATGAAGGAAGAGTGCAGTCCTTGGTACGCCGGGAACTCAGTGCTGTGCCTGCGGAGAGGACAAGCTCAAACAATTCCTGTAGAAAGGATGCGTGCCATTCTGCCGGCCTTCAGAACAGCCCACCTGGGGACTGCCCATGCAGCCTTCCCACTTCAACCCCACAATCCACTGGGACAAAGCAGGCAACATGTCTCATGCCTTCTTGTTGATATCTAGTTAGATTTTGCACAAGACAACTAGTAGCGGGCAGGTAGTACAGGCTGGGTTCACCTGTAGAAAATGAATGCTGCTGCCCAGGTCCTGCCCACATGGCTGGAAATTCACTAGATTCCTGCTCCCGCACTGGATTCGCTGGCTCAGGAATCGGATGTGCTTCTTTGATTTCGATCTAGCTGCCCACCACGCATACCACACTCCTACATTTAAATTATGTTTACTAAGTACTTTGTGCCAGATGCTGCTAGATGTCAGAGATCCAAACAAGAACTGGCATGGAGTCTTTCCTATGGAACTCAGTGAAATAACAGCCACATCGTTTGCTTGGGGCAGGTGAACAGAAGCTGGACTTGGGTAGCCACCACTCCCATGGACTTTGATAAGGAATCACTTTCTCAAAAAAACTCCAAATCATGGCCAATCAGCCCTGCTCCTGGCCCGTGTGTGGTGGGAAAGGCGTACAGCGACCGCCCAGGCACAGGGCTTACCTTTTGACACAAGACTCTATCATGTCACTTGCCATCAGCTTCAGCCGTTGCTCCAGGTGCTTCCCAAACTCTTCCTCGGGCCAGTGTAAGTCCCGAATGAAAGTCTGAAGGGCATCGAGCTTCCAGAACAGATCCTCTGAGGTGCCTGATCCGTTGCTGGCAGGGTAAAAAAATAAAAAAAAATAAAAACAAGAGTCACCCACTGGCCTTGGGCTCTGAAACGCTGACACGAAGACAACTGGGACTAGAAGGCTTGAGGCAAACAGTAGCTTCAACATACAAAACGACGCGTGTCGGCGGTGGAGGTGGGGGCATTCTCCACCGGCAGATTTTGAGTTTTACCATACATGACCTAGTCGGCTTTGTTCAGCCAATCATTCAGACCAGTGAGAAGTCTGAGGGACGCATTGCCCCGTAACGGCCAGGAGAACAGTGTATGGTAAAAATCAGCCTTCTTTTAATAACCACATTAACACATGTGATGATTCAGATGAAGGCCACGGACCAGAGGGAGAAGTAAGTCTCAACAAATAATAACTACATGGCAACATGCAGTTATTAAAGTTCGGGCTTCATGCATTTCCCCAGCTCCCCTCCAGACGGAGGCCTCTCGAAGACTGCACAGACTCGGAGTCATAAAGGGACAGTGCTAACAAAGTGGTGAGCGAGGACCTGCTTTCTCTCTTGAAGAGCTAGAGAGAAGAGGAGGTGACTCAAATTGAGACGAGTCCACCTGGACACCTTGAATCCATGCGTCTGCTCAGATTGGTTATCATTCCAATAGACCAGCCCGCTGCGCAGGCAGCCCCAGGGTGAGGGTGGGGATGGGGAGGTGAGTGGACATGAGATATTTGCAAAGCTTGTTGCTGTTTTTGTTTGTTTGTTTGTTTTTGTTTTTAAACCATTGCACCATCTTACCCAGTCCAGATGGAGGGATTGGTCTTGATTCCGTGCTGTACAATGATGTGTAAGAAACTTTTACCTGGGGCATCCACGGAAAGCCTGCGTGTGGGAAACGCTCCGTCTCTCACCCTCGTGCCCTTCTCTGGCTGGCTTTCTCTTTTGTAACAATGCCATTTGGAGCTCTGAGGGGTGGCCACCTCCCACCCCTTCCTCGCATACCACTAATGCTAACACGGTAATTTATAAAATGTCCAGCACACCATGCATTACCACTTGTTCTGACATCGTCTATAGAAACAGATGAGAGTGGGTGTTTCTATTGTGACAGATGCCAGCTGCATTGAATTAATGCTTCAGAGAGAAATATAGCTAGTGCATAAATGCATACACAGCTACTGCGGGGTGGCGGGCGGGGGGGATGGCTCCCAACATGCCGAGAGGGAGCCTACGGCCTCGACCAACAGGGACATGTTTTCAAGGACAGACCAGTCTGAGGTCAGTACGTAGACGTATCTGACACGGAGGAGCAGGTAACATGGAAACACGACCTTCGAGTGAAAGGTGGCAGAGGAGGAGACTGGAATTATGAAAAGATATGGAATCAGGCATTTCCTGGTGGGCAACTGAGAATCTAGACCTTCTTTTCGGATGCTGCCATACGCATTGCTCCCGAGTGGGGGGACGCTTTGTTTCTCCGGAGAGCTTCAGCCTTCCCCCTTCCCCGTCCTAGGCTTGGGAAAAAGAAACCCCAACTTTGTCTAGTCTAAAACCCCGTTTTGGAACTGCATGGTTGTATGTTTTAAATCATTAAGTACATATGAATGCAATAATTGGTATTTATTACAACAACATTTTGACACCCATCTGGTTTCGGAGTTTCAAAAAATTCTTCTAGGGTTTTTTTTTTTTTTTCTTTTTCTTTGAAGAGCTTATTATTAAGTTTTGACATGAGGAAAAGAATATTTTCTTTTTATTTTTAAGATAAACTGTTAATGTTAAGGCAATAGCACCAAGATTATTTTGATTGCTGAGCAGTTACCAAAATGTGTTCCCACTCATGCCTTAATTAATCGACAAGAGACCATTATCTGCTTTATTACAATGTCTTGATTCATATCTTTTCAAAAACAATGTCACAGAGCATGCAGAGAAGGTAAAAAGCTTTCAGAGATTTATTTTTAATTATTAACAGATAATACCTAATCTAACTTTTAATATAGTCATCTTAGCATGAATATGACTTATGGTTTTTTTTTTTTTAGATTTTTTTCAGCTATAAATTTGTAGAGGTTGTGATTCATCTTTAAAAGAGGAACAGACACACTGACCCCTGTGATTTCATCGTGAACTTGTGAACAAGCTCAGTTTTTAAAAAATATGGGCAGTGCTGGGGGGCCCGGCAGAGCAGTGGCTCTGGGATCCCGAGCTACCTGCATCACAGCACCGTGGAATGTCCAGGGCCGTCCTGACGGATGTGCTTTCGAGGTTTCAAAACTCACTGCCGGTTTCAGATCATTTTTTATTCCTTTGATACTCACACTTCCCTTTGAAAACGTGCCAATTTATTCTTTCAAGAAAAAGCTTATCTGGCCCATAATTAGCTGTGGTCTAAGAAAAGGATCAAAGGGGGGCACAGCATCGCAAAGCCTTATTTCACTTATTAAATCATGCACGTGGTTCTCATTTCATTTCCCTGAGGTGGAATTGAGAGGTGCTGGATCTTCTTCTTGCCGAGGAAAGAGAGAATTCATTTCTAAAGCCTGGGGACAAATGGCTGCTCAGCCTCCGTCCCCCTGACCTGCTGGCTGGCATAAAAGGGATGGCTGGGCCTCCAAGTAAACAAGCCCCACGTGGCCCCGGACCACAGGGGACACCACTATCAAAAAACTTTAGTATTTGTCTGTTTAGCTTTGCAGTCTCGCATTTAGAGACTTTGCTACCTAGGTCTCAGTGCACAGCGCCACATGATGACCTGGGAGAGTGTTGTTACACACATGACTGGGGCTTGATCCATTCGGAAATTTTCAGTGAGCCCTCAATGTCCTGCTAGGACAGCCTGCCATTTGCTGACACCAGAAATACACTTTCTGGTTTAAACAGTCTCTGGGGATTATTTATTTATTTTAGAAAAGAAAGCTTCAGGTAGGTGTGCTTCCCTCTTAAATTTGGATCAGGCCAGAGATGACGGGTCAGCCCATGAAAGAGGTTTTCTGGACCATTTCTGGATGAATAACTCCTAAAGCCATGCCACCTGTATTAAAAAACAAAAAAACGAAACAACAAAACATGGGCAGGATCTTTTTGCAAAAAGAATTCAGGAAGTGAAACATAGTCCTCAAGCATTCAGTGGGCGTAAGGAAAATTGTTAGTGCTGTATATATAGCAAATATCTTAAAAACACGCCACATGCCAGAAATAAACAATATTGTCTCTGTATGATCAGCAAAATATGTCTAATTATCCCTCTCCATCTCTGTTATATGGGATGTATAGAAATAAACAAGACATATCCATGCCAAGATCACTTAAATTTAAATTAGATCTAATGTGAACTGAATACACACTCAGCATCATATATAGCAGCCATCCATGACGGTGCCGAAAAAGTAGGCATTTGTGGGATGCCTAGAGGGATGTTAACTGGTAGATTTGGTACTTTGGGAAGGTTCACATTGGGTAGGTTCACATTGGGTAGGTTACTGGTTAAACTCCTGTGGAAGAAACAGACAGAAAGAAAAAATACCATCACAGTGACAATGCAGATGAGGCAGAAAAGCACACAACAGGTGTAAATAAACTGGCTAAATCCACAGCAAGACAACAGCAACACACTTCAGAAAGGAGCCGACAGATGGGCAGCGGTGGTGTGGCTCAGCAGTCGGAGGACATGACGGGGTTTAATGGAGAAATTAACCACAGAGCGACTTAAAAGCGTGGACAGTCATGGACACCTCTCCACCATGATCACATATTTCAGTGCCTTTGTGCAGGCTCTGCAGCTTCCAAGTCCATTGCCATGAGCGTCTAGAACTTGTCCTGTGCTAGAAACGTGAAGTTGGTGGAATCCTTGGCATTGCTGTGGCTAAGGGTGCTGGGAGGGAAAGAAAGGGCTGAGCACCTTATTTTTCTTACGTTTGTTTGTAACCTATTTTGAATGGAGGCACATTCCTGGGGCCAGATATTAGCTACACGATGTAACAGGAAATGTGCCCACAAGGTGGTAGAGGACAGAATCAGAATTCTTTCCAACCGCTGCTTCTGAAAACAGCTGTGTGTGCAATGGGGCATCTGAGTTGTAGGCAAAGATGAAAGAATTGTATCAAGAATGACTGGCTTCAAATAATTTTACAGAACACTTGAAAACAACGGAAACGTCCCCTCTCAAACTAAGTCCAATTAAAAAGAAGAAATATTGACACATGGCAAATTAAACACACACACACAAATTTAGCTCTTATAGTCAATTCTTTGGCCACAAGTGGATTTAAAATGTGGCCTCCTGTTATAGTGATTGCCCTCAAACGTGAGATAGGGACCTTACAATGAATGGCAGGGGCTCCTGAGGTGCTGAGGGGGCTGATTCTTGATCTGGGTGGTTGTTCTATAGGTGTTTTCAGTTTGTGACAATTAAAGATGTATTTTTCTATAAGAAGTTAAAATTTAAGTTAAAAAATGAATAAATCATTTAAAAGTGTGACTTTATAGAAGCTTTTTGTTCTTGAACAAAGATCCATCAACTAATGTGATGAAAGAGAGAGGAAGGGCTTTATGACTGGAGAGAGAAAAATAAAACAAATCAATAACCCCAACTCGAGTCAACCGCATCTCTTCCAAGGACTGTGTCACATGCCGTCCCAGGCTGGCATCGTGTGACTCTGGAGTGGCATTTTAAGGGTGTTCATCCAGCCAGAGTCACTGGCACGGTGGAGCCCAGCCTATGCATCTGAGAGGAGCCTTCCTGTGTAAGGAGGGTTGACAGCACTTTGGCAAAGGAGTTGAGGCTTTCTTTTTGGATCTTTCAGGAGAAGAGCGAGTTTGCCAAAGCAGCTCTGCCCGGGGCAAGCTGTGTTTGACTAACAGAACTCTTGCAAGGGCTTGAGCTGCCTCTGGGCTTGCTTGGGAGGTGAGGGGTGGGGGGAGGAGAGGGGCCGCAAGTCAGAAAATCTGGCCCCTGTAGGTAGTCTGGACAGGTGTCTCCCTATAGAAACAAGTTATTCTTTCACACTGACAACATAGCTTGTAGAAGGAAAAACCTGGCTTATAGATGGAAAAATCTAGAATGCAAACTGCCAACCTGGCATTTCTCTTTCTTGAGGGACACAGGTATCTCCCAGGTGTGTCCTTTACCCTTCACAGGTGGGAAAACGAACTGTGCTTTTCTGCCTGGGACTAAAGGGTACTCTTGTGAGAAGGGTCAAAAGAAGAAGCTAAATATGACAGTTCAGTAGAAGGGAAAATGGCACTTTCTGTTGATGTTTCTCTGTTTAACTGGGAATGTGCCTTTGCATTCAGTCCCTGGTGAGTCTTAGTCTTAAACACTGCCACATAACAAAACTGTTGGCGATTTCCACTGAGACATGTGTAAGCCCACATAAGCACATGTGATCATTAGATGAGGCACACACTGAATAATGATCGAGGAATTAGGAGAGCTTTAGAGATAGCAGTGCAGAAAGTTAAAATGTCAATTCTGAGCAAATTAAAAGTAGCTAGAAATAAATAACATACAAATGTATACAAAAGCAACTTAATTTAAACATATTAGTGGATGGTGGGCACACAAATCAGAAATGAGCTTTGTCTTGCACACAAAAATTAAAAATACTTATGTTAATCAGAGCATATTGTACTTGTAAAATATGATATTTTGGCTGGACTGCTGAGCTGGACTCATAAAACATTTCCTTCATGTGACATATTATAATGTTCTGTTTTCAGAAGGCTGAAGCATGCTTGATATTTCTGCTTTTAGCAAAATAATATAGTGCATTACTAAGGTTACTAATATTTCATTTGGATAGTAATAACATATTATAATTAGAGAGGAAATTTCAAGCATTATATACATGTGGATCTGCTGATGGATATAACCAATTATTATTTTAGAGGGCCCGTTAGCAACTACCTAAAAAGTCCATCATGCTTCTCTGTGAGAATCATAATTGGATATCTGTGAATAGTAGAAGAAGTGTGAATTGCAATCCTCACATCTGATACATGTTAAAAATTAGACTCATTCATTTTGGGGATGTGCTGAAAAAAGGATCACTCCCATGCATGTCAAAGGGCTCCATCTCTGGAACACTGGATTAGAAAATTCTCATCTGCTCGCTCCCATATGGATGAAAGCTACAACTATGTGGGCACCTCATCATTTCTGCTGATGGCAATCACTAGAGTGAGAGTCATTCCTTGCTTCTGGAATTGATTATAATTGAGACTGGGTCTCCCTGCAGAGAGGACATGGTTGGGTCTTCTCTCAAAGAAGCTTTAGGTTTATGGATGGGTTAGAAGTAAGATACGGATGTCTCCTATGTTATCAGCCATTCCTTGCTGAATATATGTAATACATCTTGTCGTCTCTCGGTGCTCTGGACACGAATGTCTCTCTCCGTGCTTATTCTTAAGTCTGATTCCTCCTGTGGGGCATGGGCACTCTGAAGTCTCATAGTTTTGAGCAGTATTTATCAACCTTGTATTCATTATCATCACTGAACCACCCAACTGCCTTCCCCATGAAAATGTACTAGCACCAACATACTGTAGGTGGATGTACATAACAAGAACAAGATATTTCTTCCCTCCCCCACTCCAAGAACCAGTTTGCACCAGCTTTGGGAGCTGTAAAGCCCCTGTTTAGAATGCACAACCCAGAGAATAAAGTTTCAAACTTCCTGGCATTTTAGAAGGTCCCACACATTTCTCCAACCTTATTGCTTGCTTTCTTTATAATCCATGCTGGCACAACAGGGCGCTGTGTTCTCACTTGCCCCCGTGTTTCTACTTCTGTTCATGCCTTTCCCAGTACCTCTGCACCTCTTGAAACCATAAGCTGTCCCTTTTATGACTCTTCAGTGGAAGTTCATCCCCTTCAGGCTAAGCTCTTCCTAATATTATTTGGTAAATACAATGGTGAACATTTAAAGTCATTTTTCTTGCATGCTTGTTGCTCAGAACTAACTAGATTGAAATCACCAACAGGGGGACATATCTTTTTATTCTTCCTTTCCCATAGCTTTTCTATTGTATCCTTACCATTTTCAACCTATATTGGTTCCCTAATAAAGGCCAGTTAAGCAATAAATACTCACTGGACACCTATGTCCCGGGCCCTGTTCTAGGTGCTAAGGAGGCAATGGTGATGAAATGTGAATATGGAAAATCACATTTTCTAGAAGGTTAGTGTTGAAAAAGTCTTGGGTATTCAAAGTCTCTGGTTTTCAAAGGAAGATACGGAGGCACAGCAAGGTCTAATGACTTGCCCAAGGTGACCCAGCACTTTGCGGGGAAAGTTGGGAATCTGACTGTGTGCCTACAGCTTATCTGCTTCAAAGCAGGCCATCTACACATTGCTAAGGTGTCTTTGGTCTGACAGTTTATTATTCGTTAAGATACCAACATCTTTAACAATCTGGAAGATGATACTATTTTAAAAAATGATTCCTGTATGTATACTTCAGGCAGAGAGAGGGAAGGTGCATTTTGAGAATTCCAGATTTTCTGTGTATATACAGCAAGAAGCAGGGTTCAGCTATCCCACTCAGAGTGATCCCCACTTGGAGCAGGAACCATGACACCAGATTTCTTGTGCCTGCAGGTGTTCACCTTGAGATCCAGAGTGGATCTGCCAAGGAAAAGGTAGTATGGAGAAGGTACTAGGCTTGGCAAGCTTTGGATTAGACGCTTTCTAAGTTTTCTTCCATGATGACTTGACTAATAGCGAACCAACTCTAAAGAGCTGGTGGAAATGTTGTCCATCCGCTAGTTAGAACCAAAAGCTGATACTCAGGGCTGCCAGAGAGCTGTGCCCACCTGCCCCGCTTGGGTGGTGGCAAGGTGACATTTCCAGGAGAGGGGTCAGGGCTCCAGGTCAAGCCTGGCCTGGGGAGGCTGTCTGTCTGCAGCTGTGGTGAGCAGCTGAGTGCTCTGCCAAAGCAGAGAGGTCCTAACCGTGATGCTCTCTGGCTTGATGGGAACAGCGATGAGCCTCCCTTCGCTCTCCGGGACTGAGCCTTTTGTCCTTCCTGCCGAATCACTTTACCAAACCCTCATGATGATGATATCTCTATTTTCTTTTCTGTGGCCATATTGCAAATTAAGAAAACCTGAAGAATATTTAAAACCTGTTTTTAGCAAGCTTGTCACAGTGTTGTTTTTCTTTAACATTTGAACACCAATTCTCAGGAAGGAAGCTTTTGTAGTGTGTTTTGCAGTCATTTAACCTATGATCAAATACCTATATCTATGACTTTTGAAAAGTGGGAGAACAGAACTGAGTATAACAAATGTTTGAAAGAAAGGCTGTGGTCTGTGTGTGTGTGTGTGTGTGTGTGTGTGTGTGTGTGCGTGCATATTGGGGGATCATGTGCCAAACTTCGAAAAGATTGAGGAAACCAAGTCTACTTATGTAAGTCAGTTTCTTGTTTTGAGTAAGTTTGATGCAAACATTCCAAAAAATCATTCCTTACTTAGAAAATCACCCACAAAGAAAAATGAATCTCTGCTTCTTCATCAACCCTCTAGCTCAGGGGTCGGCAAACTCATTAGTCAACAGAGCCAAATATCAACAGGACAATGATTGAAATTCCTTTTGAAAGCCAAATTTTTTAAACTCAAACTTCTTTTAACACCACTTCTTCAAAATAGACTCACCCAGGCCGTGGTATTTTGTGGAAGAGCCACACTCAAGGGTCAAAGAGCCCCATGTAGCTCACAAGCCGAGGTTTGCTCACGATTGCCCTGGCTGGTCAGATAAATGTATGTTCTTACTTTGTTTCTCTTCACATGGAAGGCAGTACAGAGAGACTCATTCCTTTCAATAGGTAAGAATGTCCCCAAGATCCTTCTCCTTTGTTTCCTGCTGACCATTCTGCAAATCTGTCCCATGGTATCCATACTTTGTCTTCAAATCCCCTAATACAATACGTGGTTTCCATGAATTTTAATTAAACTATGTTTTAGTTGGCACTTTCAAATATATCTACATGTTCTGAAGGGCATAATCCTACTTAGCATGAATTGGATAAACCACAATCATGTTAAAAGCTACATAAAAAATACATAAACATAAAAGATTCTCAGGTTATTATTTATGACTATTAGTCCTTCACTAATTTTCAGACCTTTAAATTATGGATCCATGAGTTCAAATTTTATTTTGTTAATCACTTTGTTGTAAATTCCCAACAAAATATTCCCACAGGAAGACCTCCAACTGTGAAAATCAGTTTGATTCTGTCTTTACTTCTGACAATATTAAGAATAGTTAACATTTTAAAAAAGAATTAGCAGCAATTTGCTTGGTGTCTGAAGAACTGAACAGATTACAAAATGGCTTTAGTGACCTTGTCATAGAACTTCTCAAATATTCTTGGACACCAAGTACGGACATTTTTAAAAATCAGTTTTGCATACGAGAAAACAATTTCATTGCCTTTGTTAGCCTTCTGGCTAGTGAGTGGAGGCTGAGGCCCTTGTTCTAGGGCCTTATAAGGATGCCAATCATTTCTTCCCATGTGTGTCCATAGTAGTAGCCTCCACATCTAAACCCAAGCAAGTAAACGCTATTTCAATACCATAGCTATTTTCAAAATGTGAATATTACTCACTTTAGCCTTTTCCTTCACAACAGTTCTTTAAGCACAACTGTAGGAATTACAGTGAGCATTAAAAAAAAAATAGAGTTCCTTGTTAATCAAGGGTCCCAGTTTTAGTCTCATGGGTAAAAAGTCACAGGGGCATAGGAAGAAACTGTTGTGAAATTGAGAATAACAAGCTCAAGTTCAGATTCCTTGGTATGTGTTTGCAAATAAAGAGCTACTGCCTATGAAGCTGCTCGCAGTAGGGTAGGTTTAGACACTTCCTCCCCAGCTCTGACGTGGCAGGAGGGCTGAGAAAACTATTTTGCATTAATTTCTCTGGGAGACCCTATATCCCCAGAAAGCAAGAGTTTGAGGTTGCCCTCCGGCATCTGGAGTCTGGCCCTCCTCCTTGCCTGGGAGTGGAGATGGCAGTGAATCCACTAGACATTTCAAGTAGATTCCCCAGACAATGTGGACATGCTAAATTCAGTCCACAGGATTTTTTGGAATTTGTCCTTTAGATTGATATCCCATTACAAAAATGAGTACTGTGGTCAAATAACCCTGGGTTAAGCAGAGTTAAGCAAGGCTCAGTATTACTATGTTAGTGTTTTGGAATACACTGACTGGTTGATTTGTGGCACCCCAGGAGACAAGGGTGTGGAGTGCATTGAAGATTCTAACCCTATTTGTCCACAGAGTCCTTTTCTTGAGGTAAATCTCAAAGGCTTAGGCCAGAGATTTTGCCTACAGGTCAGTCTCCTGCTTTGGCAAATTGAGTTTCATGGGAACACACTTTTATTCCTCTACAAATTGCCTATAGCTGCTTTGGCTCTATAATAGCAAAATGGAGTTGTGACAACGATCATGTACCTTGAAAAGCCAAAAGATTTATCACATGGCCTTTCATGGAAAAAGTTTGCTGACCCCTTGTCTAGACCCTGTGGAATACACTTTGAGAAACGTTAATTCCTAGGGAAAACATCATTGGAATAAGATACACAGTACAAATACCACAACCAGGGTTCTATCCCTTATTCCTAATTTATCCTGTGGAATAAAACAAAGATTTAATTTCATAAAACATTCATCAACCTCTTTCCCACTGCTCCTTTGGCCAAGGAGACTATACGCATCTGAGTCAGAAACACAGCCAGTGTTTGCTCTCCATCATGCTAGCACTGAAAACCATAAGACACCATTAATCCACTTCTGTATGACTCTCCAGCCATTTGCACCCAAACTCCGATGGTATCAAAAGAGGTTTCCTTACTTGACTGGTTCCCATGACTCCCGCTCAAAGCCCCTGTGAATGGATTGTGCAATTGAGGACTCCATCAAATCCACATATCTAACCACAAGTGGGGCAAACAGGTCTTGAAGGTGTTTGTGGAATTTTCCATTGCACAAATTATCTAGAACAGAGAAGCAGAGTCTTGGTAAGGGCCCACAGTTGCTTTGTCAGCATACAACATACACACAGAGAGGACTGTCTTCGACATTAAGCCTATGGCTTCTAAGAGAGCTTCCCCTCACTCCCCTCCCCTGAAAAAAAAAAAAAAGAGAGAAAGAAAAAAGTTCAGGAACAGCATCAAAGCTCATGCTTCAATCTGTGTGGGAAGAAAATGGAATTCTAAAACATTTAATCCATTTGCGTCCCTCTTGTCAAAAAGAAAAACAATCATGTCCCTTTAAAAGCAACAAAACAGCAACCCACACTCTTCTGGGATTCCTTGTACTCACTCCCTTCCTCCCATGCTGTTACCAGGAGGAGAGACCCTGCTACCCTTCCTTCATCACGCTCCCTGAGCAGGAAGGTCCACATTATGGCTCTGTGTTGTGTAAGAGACTCCAAGATGCTTAGGGTGTTGCTTAACTAGACTTTTTCTTTTTTTTTCATCTAAAAAGCAACTTTGGATAAAAATTGGAAAAAGTGAAGAGGTTAAATAGCTTGTTCCAGAACAAAAGAACCCCGAGGACACCACTCCTGACACTGCTCTGGGGTTCTTCTGCTTAGGTAAGAGAGGGCTTCTCTGTCACAGAGTATTCCTTGGAAGAAAGTTGATCACCCGTAGGTTTGTTTGTTTTTGAATTAATAATAAAACCACAAAGAGCTAGGTCCAACCTATATTCTGTCTGGGATACACGCATTTTAACAAGGCGCTCATTTGCACACGACGTGGGCAGGCCCAACAGTGGAAGGTGATACGTACAGTCGGTTCGCAGGAAGTCATTCAGCAGCTGGAACAGCGGGAAGCTGTCCCACGTGTCCGGGGGCTGCACCTCCAAGGCTGCATCCATGTCCACCGCGAAGAGCGACAAGAACGTCTCGGCGTGCTCCACCATCAAGTCCGACCACCACGCAAAGGCCTTTGAAATTTGGCAGAAAAACAACAGACAGAAAGGCAGTGAGCTTCTCACTCCCCAACAGGAGTTGGAAAGTGCAGCCCTCGCTGGCCAAGGTTCAGTGTGCATCAGCAGGGTTTGGTAGTTTTATTGTAAAGAGAACAGCGTTTTTGATTCAGCCGGGCCTCTGAAGCGTCCCAAGGCCATGCTTTTCAGGATTCCAGTCCTGCCTTCGAGAGCCCACTGGTCAGAAGACTCAGCTGTAGCTGTGACAGACGTGGAATTTCTGTTCAGTTTACAATAACTCGGTATGTTTTGGGTCATGCTCTTTATCAGTGTTGTTGGCTGGTTCTTGCTCTGAGGTATTAGAATTTGGGAGTTTCTTCACTGTGTTTATGGGTTTTCTGCTGGTCTAACTTGAAAATTTGCAATGAGTGTTCACTTAGATCTACACGTGTGGGGCTTAATTGTCTACAGTCTCATACAAGGTCGATGACTCGTATTTCTCCACGCATGGGCAATGTTACTCCTCTTTCTTACCAAGGCAAAGGAAACCATTGTTGCAATTATCACAAAAAGTTTGAGTCAAAAATCTCTCTAAGTGGGCAGCCTCTGGTTTTGTATTCTGTCTGTAGGGAAGATCAGGCTTACTCTGGGAACCAGGAAGGTAAGGACTTACTTTTCTACTTTTCGGGGTGGGGGTGTGTGGAGTGGGGTTGGACACATATGTACATTGAAAACCAAAAAATATCAGTGAAGTAACTCATTTTCATGCACGTGGGGACCTTGGAAATCATTGTGCAGGGTCTCCGGGCGACATTCACATCGGACTGGGCCAGATGTGAATGCAATTCAAAGGCACGCATGCATGTTGACTAATCATTTCTGGCAGGGAGCATGCAGAATGAGTGGCGGTCACAGGCCCTTTTTTTTTTTTTTTTTGCTGATTTCAAAGACAGCAAGAAAATAAAACATCGCCAGCCTCCTCTTGTCCCCCACCTCCCCACCCAGTGCCATAAAGTATTTACATGAGAAACACTTTCAGGAGCATTCACCGAAAAAAGATGGAAGGCGTTTGAAAACATGAAAGATGATTATGGAAATAATTCCATAAATGAAAGTGTTTGTTCAATAGCCAAGCTTTTCTGTCATCTATTGTTATTTGGGGATATTCTATCAGCCACTAGGAGGCAGACTTAGCGGTCCGCCTCTCTTCTTTCATGGGATTTCATTTTACTTACTTCTCCTTTATCAACATGTGGCTGGTTTGCAAATTAAATGGAAAAAATCAAGTCATGGACTATTCTTCCAGGTCAGCTTGGCTGGAAATAGACACCTGCTGTTTCCATTTTAATTTACAGTAAAACCTCACTGATTCAGAGTAATGGCCGTGGAGAAGGGCTAGGCGGTCAGCATAAAAGCCTACATTACTGGGCCACCTAAAAGTAGGTTGTTGCTGCTTTCAAATGCAGTCTGAGCACCAAAGTAGAAGGTACTCACTGGGAGTTATATGAATGCATCATACATGGAAAAGTGTTTTTCCCCCCAAATTTCTAATAATCATAATAGATAAATTGACATATAAATGGAAGTCAAAGACACAAAGGTTTAATGTGGCAGGTCCCGAGGTGAAACTTGTAAGAAGAGCCCTTAGAATTTCCAGGGAAAGTTGAGAGATTATGTTACACATTTTACTTAAGAAAAATTAAAAGAGACACACCTGCCATGGGATTGTCACCAAGTTCAAGTGTGTGGGTCTGAATCAAGGAGGTTTTATTGTAGGTTTACCACCTGGAGATGAGAGCCCTGAGGTGTGGGGCTTGCTCCCTGACTACCTGGCGGGATCCAGTGGAGGCAGGATGCCTCCGGCCCCCCTGAGCTCTCCCAGCCAGCAGCCTTTCAGGCAGAGACCCTCTACATGTCGGAATTTGCTGGGGCCCCACCCCCACCCTCACTGGAGGGCTGGCTGTCATCAGTCCTGATGCGTGATATTCACAGAATTCACGAAGGCACATGGCAATCTTAGCTGGTACTTATTCTACTTATTCTTTAGTTATTTGATAATAACAGTTACTGGAGAGACTGAGTTGCTTTCTGCCCTTCCCCCCCACCCCCACCCCCCTAGGATGAGAGGACAAAATGCCAGCCCTAGATGCCTGAAATTAACAATTGCTTAGCCTAACCTTGAACCTGTTTCTTACCATCTTTATTTAAAAGTTGCAAACCAGAGACCATAATCAGCACCTCCTTTACTATCTTTGGAGAACTCAGCCCCTCCTTGGAATTTAGTAAATGACTGAGCGATTGTCTGCAGTTGTGGTGTGAATAATCATTGCTAGGTAGCCCTGGGAAGAACAATGAATGGCTGCTGTGATAGGAACGCTTGCTCCTGAATTCTGGCAGAGGGACTGAGGCTTCTAGGGAACAGAGAGAATTGTAATGTACGGCTGCAAGGGGAGGAAGACAGAGCTGTTTCTGGGCTCTCAAGGGGATTCTTCCAGAACCTCATCCTTGAACCCACCTCCTGGAAGGGCAGGAATGATAAAAAATGAACAGAGTCTGTGTGACTGGATTGGGCAAGGCAAGTCGTCAAAATTAAAAACCCAAACAATATCTATTGGTTTTGTTTGCTCAGACGGGTGGATGCTATTTTTGTACAAAGCTAGCTCAACATCTGTAGGTATTGAAAGTCTTTATAAATCTTTTCCAAAGGAAATAAGAAGTTATACTTCAGATTCTAAATACTTACCTAGTGCTTTTCATTATTTAAAGGCAAAGGTGTATGCTTTAAGGGTAGAGTCAACCACACTGAACACACTGTATTTTTGTACACAAAGTCCATATATGTATGTACCCCTCTGTGTACTTCCATAATACATATATACATATACATACGTATACATAGAGAGAGAGGTTGAAGCAACAATACATGAAAGTGTAGTGTGTGTGTGTGTGTGTGTGTGTGAGTGTGTGTGTGAGTGTGTGTGTGTGTGAATAACTTAGGCTCTGAGAGCAGAATTATGCTGCAGGTAAGAGATGAACATGACACTGCGACCATATACTACATTTGTGTGTATGTGATGTGATAGTAGTCATGGAAAGTTTTTTCTCTTGGGGCATTTAATTACTTTATATTTGAATTCAAAATGGCCTTAAGGATTATTGTTTTTTGGTGCGGGATCAAGTCTGCTTGTCACTTTCACTTGTGGTGCCACCAAACATCGTGGCTGCCCAGCCAAGATCCGTGCTTAGGATTTAGTAATTTGCTAGTTTATTGAGCACTCAGAGAATGTGGCAGGGAGTACAGGCAGCAGAAAAAATGTTCATACTTCAGCCTTGTCTTTAGCATGCCAGGGCAAATCCTACCTATAGCTGCACCCCGGGCTCTTGACCAAGCTACATACTGTAATCAGCCAGGCAGTTTAACAATGACCAACACTTGGTCCCTCCCATGAGATTCCAACTAATTGATCGCAATCTGCCAGTGAACCTTGAGGACAGGTGCTGGGACAACTCCACCTTGAAATGAACCCACTCACCTTTCAACATATTCTGTCTATAGCATACATTTGGTGCTCTCCACCTTGGTTTGTACTTTTTATGGTCCTTTTTGTATTATTTGCTTCCATACCAATTTGTTCCTCATCACACAACAGTAGAGTTTTGTTGAGCGCTTACTATGTTGTGAGGATGGAAGGCTGCATTCAGCAGAGCATACTACCAGATGCTCTGTTGAATGCAGCCTTCCATCCTCACAACAGCCACATGAGCTAGATTTTACACCGAGTGGCCAGGTTATTATGATTTCTGAACGCATAATAATCTGTCCACTCAGTGTATAGTTATCTCCAACTTACAGGACAAGAGAGGTTAAGTAACCAGGCCACAATCACAGAGCAAGGAAGTGGCATAGCTGAGATTGAAATGCCAGCATCTCTGGCACAGAGCCTGCGCTCCTGGCCGCTCTGCCTTCTCTGCTCAAAGGCAAGACTGCCCCTGCCTCTGTGTCCTTCACAGAAGCTCAGAGGTCATCGCCTCAGTGCTCACCACACAGGTAGCTTTTGATCGACTGAGTGAGGATGTTTTGTATTTGGGTGAAATGACTAATTCAGGAAATAATCCTGTACTTTTATCTAAAAACCAACTGGGTCTCCAAATTCCAAAGCACGCTGATGCTTTCACTCCTAACTTCTAAAGCTAGTCAATGGAAACAGAACTGAACTGATGTTTACCCTGGCTGGCTTTGGAACATGTAAGGATAAAATATTTTTGTAAGCATGGCTACTAGGGCAGTTTCAGATGATGATTAGCCCTTGGTGAAAAAGTATTTGAGGAACAGTGGAAAAGAAAACTGTCTTTTTTTGGACTATTAACGTGCCTTGGGTACCTCTTTTGAGTAATTTGGGAAAATAGCCGTCCTTTCTTAGCCGGTAGCAGCCTCAAAAATAGCTTGTTTAGAAATCAAGGACACCCGCCATTTTCCTTCTTTCATTTAATTAAAAGTACAGCGGTGACTGAGGAAGACCTTCTCTGTGCGCATGTCTTCAAACATGGTGATTTGGTTTGTTATCAGGGGAGGGCAGTTCTGAGGTCACCACTCCTCTGGAGTTTACCTTTGCAGACCCCCAAAAAGAACATACTTACCATTACCTGAACCCCAAATGCCCCCAACCTGGAAAGAACCAAATCAGATGGGATAGAGTAGGAAACAGTTCGAGCCCAACTCAATTTGATGTGTCTGGAGGTTAGCCCTCGGCCTCTGTTTGGAGGGCGCTGGCTTGGCCCCTCTCCCGGCTCCCTGCTCTGCATTGCTGAGGCAGCGGGAGTTAGTTACACCCATGCTGAGGGGTCCTCACCCCATTCCTGGGCGGGTGCCATACAAGCACCGATTCTGTGGCACTCTCTCTCTATATAAATGCTGTATATGCGGTTCACATACAGACAGTCGCAGAGGGAGATTAGTATCACTCTGGGCAGCTACTGGTTACCACGCTCGGGACGCATCTGCGGTAAGTACAGACGGACAGAGGGACTGGGACAGGCTGAGGACAGAGTCACGGCAGGAAGGAGGCACGTGTCGGGATGTAACTGCAGTCGTGGTCAGGTGTATCAACTGCTTCATGCACGCACGAGAGGACCCCCCCTCCCCACATTGCCCCCACTGTGGAGGGCCCCCATGTCACAAGCAGCCCCTGCAAGTTGCTGTTACATTCCTCGGGTCGGTGTTAGGAAGCGGGAGCCCCAGGAAAGTCCCATCGGGAGACAGGGCACCGGAAGGGCATGCACAGACTAGGACAGAAGGTGGCTGGCTCATTCGGTGTCGGCACATACCTCTTTCCCCTGCCACGATCGGCCACGAGTGAGTGGAACAGTAGAAAAACAGGGAGGAAATTTAAATATGCAAATCAGGCATTATTCGGGATGACTGGGTTTATGGGTATTAGGTATTAGTTAACTGTAGTGTCAATTTCAGTTAGTCCGCAGGAAGGACCATGTTAGGTGCTTGAGGAATTACACTTATGGATTGCCTTTGCTTCCCCTTCTGCTGGAGAGTTGAATGGAGAGGAAGAGTGAGAGTTAGTGGGGTTTTCAGAACGAGCTATGACCCGAAGCTTCAGGGTGGAAGGAGGCGGTGTTTTCCCAGTGGGACCCCAATGGAACCTTGGGGTCTTTCTCGGAGGACTGGATTATTTTAAGTCCTTACAGGTTGGGGGCTTAGTTAGCCTTAAAATCCCTTGGTTTATCATTAGTATCACCGAAAGCACAGTTTTGACAGTGGTCTGTAAGAGAAAGGAAGCTGTATCTATTTAGATGGAGGTTGGAGAACCGACAAGTGGGACAACACAGAGTAATAATTCACTCTGACTCTGCCTGTGGCCACCAGGTCACCTGAGGTTAACAAATGAAGCTAAATCCAACCACGTGGCCTGCGATCCACACACCAAATAAAAGAAATAAAAGCAACAGTGGTGGCAACAACAACAACCACGAAAGACCAGAAAGCATTTTGCGTGCTCCGGACACGATCCATATGCAGCTCGTGTTGTAGTGTGAAATACACTCACCTCTTTGGCTCGTGGCTGGAAACATCTGAAAACTTAAGCCGAAGTGGACAACACACAATCCCTTTTGGGTTATATTCGGCAGCCTTCCCCAGGCAGCTCCTCATCCACCATCCACTTGCACTGTCTTGGCAAGGCCAGTGGAGAGCAAAGGGGGTGAAGGCCCCTCATTCCCAAGGCCACCTGTCCCCTCCGATCCGCAGCTGCAGCCGAGGGACCCGGGCCATTCCCCCTGCGCCGCTCACCTCTGCGTGATGCTCCTCATTCTGCTGGAGAACCTCAATGACTAGTTCAGCCAGGCGGATTGTGTCTTCGAGCTTTTTGGCGGGGGTGATTAACCGGCCTACATTTTCTGAAGCACAAGAATCTGCGTTAAAATGTGGCGAGAGCATCGGGCTGGCTTTGTGGCCGTTAGCACGAGTGGATGAGAAATTCTGAATAGTCACCAATGTTTTAAAAAAGGGGTCATGCAAATGTTAGGAGCCACAAGATTAGTAGTGAGCAAACCAGAAAGCCATATTATTGTTATCATCACCGCCATAATCATCATCATCATCATCATCATCATCATAGATATTAAGGGAAAGCAGTGCTCCAGCTTCAAAGTGGCATGGTAAGCTACATTTTCTTTGACAGCCCATTTCAAATTGAGTGACGTTTTGTACACGTGTTCTTTAAAGACAGCATAAGTATTCTATCTGATAGCACTGTCTACTGTGCTGTGCTACACAGGGAGGGGCGATGCTACAGGAACTTGATCTTGATTGCTGCTACTTTTGTTGCTGGATTTGTCCTTAAACATGCGATACTACAGAATCTTTTTCATTATAAGTCTGCAAGTTTAACAGGTACTGGAATGTTCGGTTTTTTTTTTTTGTTTGTTTGTTTGTTTGTTTTTAAAGCAGAACCGCCACAACCGGAGTGGATAGAGCATCGGTCTGTGGACTGAAGTGTCCCAGGTTAAATTCTGGTCAAGGGCATGTACATTGGTTGCAGGCACATCCCCGTTAGGGGGTGTACAGGAGGCAGCTGGTCGATGTATATCTCGCATCGATGTTTCTAGCTCTCTATCCTTCTCCCTTCCTCTCTGTGAAAAATCAATAAAATATATTAAAAAAAAAAAAAAAAAAGCAGAGCTACAGATCTTGCTGTTTTAAGTTGTCCAGGGAGGAGACTGTAACTTATGAACATTCCTGGGCCATTAGGTAGAAGGAAGGATCAAATTGTTGAAAGGGTGCTGGGGGTAGATTATTGGCTGAAGTAGTGGTCACTGAAATCTTACAGGGTTAGTGGCAACAATGCACCCAAGGTTTTCTCAATTTTTAGTTTTTATTGTGTGGAAAGGGTTCTTTTTAGCTGACTCAAGCACAAACCAAACTCTGGTTTCTGTTGCACCCTTTAGAGACCTGAATTCATGAATGTTTATCAGTCATCATGTTATGTAAACTTACAAATGTTTTTTTCCTGGCAGGGAAAAAAAGTGATATTTAACATATAAAGGATTTTCTTAGCCAATGAAATTGCCTGGATTCAAACAGTCTGAACTCACAGGGATCTAGTATTTCATGCTTAGGCCCCTTCAAATCTTGATGCCTCAGTCAGTTGTAGCTCTGGGGTACAATGGCAATAAGGATCACTTAGCCCAATTCCACAGGTAGGCACGTATGTGCCAAAAAGGACTGCCGAAACTTATTTCCTCTCTTCATCAAAGCAGATGTGGTTTGGCTTCAGGATTTTCCTTGGTAGAGAAGATTACTGAATGCTTCACAGGAAGGTTTGTTATTTTGTTTTGTTTTGTTTATGGGAGGGGTGGTGTTTAAACAAAACCATGGTCCCTGGCCTGGGTTTCTAAGTGGTCAGAGCACTGGCCCACAAACAGAGGGTCTTTGGCTCCATTCCCCATCAAGGGCACATAAAATCCCTGTCCTGGTAGGGTGTGTACAGGAGGCAACCAATCCATGTTTCACTCTTACATCTATGTTTCTCTCGCTCCCCATTCCCTCCCTTCCACTCTCTTAAAAAAAAAAAATCAATGGGAAAAATATTCTCAGGCGAGGATTAACAACAACAAAAAAATCAGGAAGTTGGTCTCAACTTTATAAAAAAGTGCCCCATAATTTTCTTTTTGTGCATTTGTTAGATAGGTGGTGACTATATCAAGTGATCAGTAATTTAGGATTAAAAAAGGAAAAACAAGTTCAGTGAAACACTATGCAAAAGGAATGTCCCTGCCCCTCTGGGAGCTAAGAGTGGTGGCCGGGCTGGTAAGATTATTGAGGGAACTTAGCCAAACAGGCCTGGTGACTAGTGTGAAAATGGGCTTTCTGGATTCGGGCCAACAGAAAGCTCCATTGTCTCTGCCGTGCTCAGGTGGCAGCGTGGCTGGATAGTGAGGGCCTGAAGGTGAGAACTGAGGGAACATAAATATGCAGATCAGCAGCCAATACCTGGCACTCGGAGCAGGCAAATGTGTGGAGCTGAGCTGACAGCACAACGCTTGGGCCAGAGCAATCAATATTTGGAGAAATTTCTAGTGAGGGGTTTGTGTGCTCTGGGGGCACCTGGCCTGTGTATAATTTCATAAATGGACTATGATAATTTCATTAGTAGACTTTCAGGCATTTCTACAAACATACTGTGTATATATGTTTGGGTAATAGGTGTAGAGTGAGGTGCTTGCATTTTGATAGTAAATATGCACAAGGCTACTATTTTTTATTAGTTGATATTCACATTTACACATCAATTTGCAAATTCCTCATTCTATGCTTATTACCCATTTGACACATACACCCACATACACACATCACACACTTACATACACTGTCTAGTAACCAGACAAGCCTGCACATTAATACAAATCTGCAGGAAGTCCCACTTGGGCATTTTGAAATCTCTTGCTTTAAAAGTAGGCAGCATTGTCCTTTTGGGTGGAATACTTACCAAACTTAGAGAATTTTGGCTGCACATGATATATCAAGTAGAAATGAGATAATTCCCACCAGTATTTTTATGCACTTGCATTTAAAAACTGTGAGTGATACTTATATTTGGAGAAATCCAAGATGCTTAAGCTAGGACCACCTGAAGATTTGTTTTAATAAGCAGTACTTTTAGATCGACTACAATATATATCAATAGATACACATAAAATGTACATGTGTAAGCAGCCATTCTCTGGGTGTGTGCACATGTACACAGACATCTGTATGCCTGATGTATATATACAGACAGTATGTTTAATAAAACCTTTTGCAATTTTACTTTAAACAGGCAACCATTAGAGTATGCAAGTTAAGGATCCTTTCATCGAGAATGCTTGATCTTTCAATTAATCCATGTAACCAGACTTTCGTTTGCCATGAATTATTATAGCTACAGTTCCACTGTGTGGAGATCAAGCCACTTTATTGAGACATAACACTCTTTTCTTTTTCCTCTTTCTTTGCATAGCTAACTTAGCATCTAAATGGCAAAAAAAAAAAAAAAAGGTACTAAAAGAGATTTCTCTAAGATGTTGTCTTTAAAGAAAATATTGTGCAAAATCCTTTAGCACCTCCTCCCTTCCCCGACAGAGGTCAAGGAGAAATTTGAGCTTAGAAATTATTTTTTCTTTTTGTTTGGTTTCTTCTGCTGTCTTGAAATGCATCGTAATATTTCTATCACCCAATCTCTTACTAGCTGGAGCACTGAAGAGGAACTAAAAATACAATATACTTAGTAAACATTTCATACAACAGAATTGAAGCTCATAACATAAAAAGAAATCGTCATGCAAAATGTTATGCAACAACAATGTTATTTTGTGCTGACATTGAGGTTTGAAAATGTTGCGTATGTCAGACATAGCTAGACAAAAATAAAAATGTGGACATTTGGAAATAAATGCTCTCTTTCCCAAAACCTGGTGTCAAACTTGAGAGCCCGAGCCTCAGCTTAGGATTCCAATCCAATCCAAAACACCATTTCAAGAAGGAAAATGAACAGAAAAGCAAACCAAACTAGGAAGCTGCCGACTAAAGGAATGGGAGAAGTTTATGGTACTTGATTTTGGCCTAGTCCTGCTGTCGAGCCTCTGACATAAAACGCTGGTCTGCATTTGGGTGGGCGGAGGAGGGCCCGGAGGTGGCCGGGGAGCCGCTCAGGTGGGTGAAGACAGACGATCAAAAAAGTCAAGAGACAAAGTGACTTTCACAAAGAGGGACCAGCAGGATGACGAACTCCGAAAAGAACTACCAAACAAGCAAGAAGGATAAAACACAAACGGGGAGCCGCTGCCTTCTCGGCGTGACTGCCCCATTACTGGACTGGACTCCGACCAGTGCCACCAACACCACCCTACGGAGACACTGACTGGCTGAACACACAGACTGGGGTCTTTATCCAGAGGGACGCACGTGAATGATGGTGGCAGCATCACTGACCAAAACGAGACTGACCGAAACTTTTGCACGGAACAGACGCCTGTATGGCAAACACTGCTTCCTCTCCGGGTGAGCAGGAATGGGACCCGGTCAGGCAGAGCTGGGAGACTGGCATCGCACCCTTAATATGCTGCTTCACCTCCTGCGGAACCTTGCCCCTTCTACTTAAACCTCCCTGTGCTTCAGTTTCCTCATCTAGAATCCGGGAATTCTAGTGTCTTTTTGGTGTGCCTTGCAGGGCTGCTGGTAAGAGCAAATGAAACAATGCATGGGCTAGATCTCTGCAAAGCCTAAGGTGCCTACCAATGCTTATTGTTCCCTCCAATATTGTGCAAAGGCAGGAATTAATTGCCTTGCAAGAGCAGATGAAGGACCGCTATTAGTTCAAGTGCGCTAGGGAATATTCTTGCTCCCTTTGTGGAATTTCAACATGTCAAAATCTGTCATTTGGGGGTGGGGGAGAAGGAGAGGGAATGTGTGGTATCTGATTGTTTCCAGCTCATTTAATTATTTTCAATTTGGAATTTTCATGGCTTTTATATTGTGGGCTGAATCATATATAAAAGCTTGCCAGCTTATCAAATATGTTACTTGCTATTCCAAATGTTAGAATGCCGTAATCAGCACTTGACCCATCTGTCTTGTGGTTTACAGTATCAGCACAGCAAACATGCTGGAACAATAGCCGCTCCTTCCACAGGCATCGGGCCCTCAGTTCCCCGCTCCCTCCCTTTGATAAGCGCCTCATTAACCTTGGACCTGCTGCTTCCCGATGGGTCCCGTTATAAAGCAGCCTGCACGGCGAGAGGGGACATGCTCCATTGCCAAGTTTGCTTGAATTTTCTCCTGGCGAAATGATTTTTACTGCAGGCTTATAGGAAACTGTAATCCTAGCGACATTAATAAAAAATATCCGCAATATGAATAA